CGGAGATCCTTGGAATAGTCAAAGTTTGATTTGCAATCCGGTCATGGGTATCCAGTGACCTCCCCGTCCACATCAATGGATGGCTTTGACAATCCCAGACATAAGACCGTCAGTGGGCTACGACCGTCAAAATCATCTGCCATAGCAGTGGCGACAGAGGATTCAGGGTCAGATAGCGATGCAGAAACCGGGAGTCGTCTGCGACCTTCCAACGTAAGAATCGAACCGTCAGTCCGGCAATTTCACAGCGATACCCGCATTCCTCAGCGCAAGAAGCCCACGAAGGACGCAGCTGTCCCCACCCTGCAGCCCTCTTCTATAGATAAGTTTATCGCGGGGCTCTGGCGGCAGGTGCATTCCCCTGTCTCTTTGAGTGTCTCGTTTCCGGTGCGTTTTCCATTGAGTCTACGCCAGTCAGATCTACCATCGCCTGACTAAAGTGCAGGACCGTAGACCAGAATTCAGCCTGGGAACGGGCGTCAGCCAAGCAGTACGTGTGAATTATTCCCACTAGGGAAGTGGGATTTGTGATATTCTAATAGCGATGCTTATAGGTTTTTCGGGCTATCAATGGTTTGTGCAAGAAATACTATGACCAGAGCCGGTCATCACGGGCTCTGGAAATAGTAGTGCAAGCATACTGGGTGGAATGCTATGAAGCACGTATTGCATCAATTCGTCTCGAGTACCCAAGCTATACGAACGCCGAAGCTCGAATGGCAGCTCTAAAAGAAGCCTGCAGCACATTAACGTGGCATGAAAAGGAGCTCAGAAACAGGATGTAAGTCCTTCTTTTGGGTTATGGTTCAACCGCCCCTTCCTTATGTCTGCACGTCAGAACTCATTGTTGACTAATTTCAAGGGCGATTTGGCGTGGCTACAAAGAAATTAAAGATTCTGGGGGTTGGGCTAGCCTAATATTTGCTGGGTCCGGTATTTACCGCGTGTGCAAATATAGGATAGGCTTTGATAACGGACTCTTGTCTCAGTTGCGCCACATCGCTTCTAGCCTTGAAGTCGCCGCAGATACTCTCCATCCTGGTTGGCGAGACCTTCTCCGAGTTGTTAGCCAAAACGGGTCTTGTCGATACGCTGGTCACCCTCATGAATGGGTCACGGTAGATACTGGTCCAGCATTGCCGCTTAAAAGCACCTACTCCCATCTGAAATTGCCAAACGGCTTCGATTATCAGTTCGTGGACGACTGCGTGATCGATCACAATGTGTTCGGTGGAGACGACCCTCGACGCGGGCTGGAAATTGATCCTGATATTTGTCAACTGTGCAAGGAACAACAGACCGATGATGTGATCTCCAATCGCTGTTCTTGTTTCCCGGCTTTGTTTGGTGGTGTTCGTTATTCCCTTCCTGTCCAGTTGTATCACACAACTAGTGGGAAGAATAACGGGGTGATCGCCCGCTGTGTACGTTGCATGCAGATACCCCTTCCGGTCTCTGCCAATCGCCCTTAATACAGTGATTACTAACGTTTGAAAGGAATTCGAACGAGGCACAGCTATTGCAGAGTTTGTCGGTCTCGTCACTCAAGGGATTGAAGGTCTGGACGTGATGATGGGCGGAAGCCCAGAACGACCATATCAGGTCTTCCAAGGCCAAATGGGCAATTTTACTCGCTTCGTCAATCACTCGTGCCGCCCCAATAGCCAGTTTCAGAAGTTCTACTGGCGTGGGATAGAACGCATACTCGTGGTCTCTCGCGGAGTGACCGCCGGAAGTGAAATTACGGTGGATTATTCGGATTCCTACTGGGGGAAGCTGAAGAAGAATTGTCTATGTGGGGAGACTGGCTGCCGTTTCGCCCATCAGGCAGAGACATAGGCGACATGTCTTTGCCAAATACATTATGTTGCACAAGTGTATCACTCGTCTCGGTTAGAATGCGGTCGAGAGTGTGTAGAAGAGGGTTGCGCTCGGGGAAATTATGGGGAACTGCAAAATCACTTCGCCAAGCAGCGAGCTGATGGGCCCTTCTATCGACTGATACCCGGATATCAAGTCCTCATCGCACGGTAGATCCGCCATCCCCCCGGCTTCTCGATGTCCACCGCGCCATTGCACTTATTATGAAACTTAGCGGCGCTGGCGAATATATTGAGAGAGTCTTTCGTGATATGGAGGAGCTGGATGTCAGAGAAGATGGATCGACACATTTGGGATATCTTGCAGGCTTACGACTTGGCGGGTGGTTAGATACCCTATCAGTGCATTAGAAGTTGGTACGATGATATCAGCATGTCGAAGAATTTATGTATTTCGTATCTCTGAATGTTGCCGGAGTTCAAATACAACGTGGTTCGGAATAATGCCCGTAAACGAATCCGTTCTAGTTAGCCGGTGAGGTTAGTCCCGAACTTTGCTGTCGCAGTAGCGCTATATCTCTACAGCTAGGCCAGCGTGCCGAAAATGTCCCTCCGCGCTTTTCTCCCTCGCACCAACAACGTCAACACACCATTCGAGGAAGTTGTCGAATCCTTGCTCTGGATTTTCTTCGTAGGATTGCCAATTACGCCGGATAAAGGCCTTCAGCTCAGCAAAATACTCCTCTATAGGATTCAAATCAGGAGAATATGGAGGCAAATACACTAGCTTTACGCCAGCTTCTGAGCACATCTGTTCAATTCTGCCCGAGTGATGAAAGGATGCGTTATCCATCACTAGCACAGACTTCGGCTCGGGCCATTTCCCACAGTGCTGGAGAAGCTGCTCGATAAAATCCTCAAAGACGGATGCGTCAGTTGTACCCTGGAACACTCGAGACAAAACAATGCCATCTTGGGCATAGGCAGGCAGTATCTGGTATCGCTGATCACGATGAAATTTCGACACTTGAACCGGTGCAGTACCAAGGGGAGACCAACCCGTTCGCCGGAAGCCTATCCTTTTATCACATCCAGATTCATCGACATAGACAAGGTGGTAAGACTTGAAGTCTGAGATAAAATGATGGTATTCGTCCCGAAGGTCAAGGTTGCGTTCTCGTGCCTTGACCCGAGCAGTCTTTTTTGACCAGCCTTTGGACTTAAGGGCGCGACTGACGCTCGATTTCGTTGTTTGAAGAGCGAATTCGTCCCACAGAAAAACCACCATCTCGTCCAGATATAAGGCAGGCTTTTCAATCAGATGGTCGCACAAAGCCTCGAGCATGATTGGAGTTATACTACGGGGTCGTCCGCCTTTAATTGGCGGTGCTTTGACACTGCCAAACATTCTTATATTGGAAGAGATTCTCGAGATGGTGCTCTTGTTGCAACCAGCGGCCTGTGCCATCTTAGTTATAGATAGTTCGCCACTGTGGATCATGTCATAGATAAGCTCATGCTTGGAAGGAGCTAGGTTTGGAGCCATCTTTGGTTGGACCACTCGTGGTTGATCGTTAAGTACGCCTCCCCAGGAAAAGCTGCTTCGGAGGAGGGGCATGGAGGTGTCAGATGTATTGAAATTACAAGCGAATACATTCCTGAAATTACCATGTAACCTACGTACGAGCAAATACACAAGCAACTGCCGGAAGAACTCCCAATATAGACTAGTGTGACTTGGCCCAAGGGGCAGGAAAGTCAATCGAAGAGTGTAGTGGTTGCACCGGTTTCGGGACGTACTGTACTGTACCAGGTATTGAACCCCAACAAAGAAGACTATAATTTTTTGGATGCAAATCGCAAGGTACCCAGCCATAGAAAGGTTATCCTGGCCTCTTGCTGAAAGCATCCAAGGGTACTACTAGGTCTGGTTTGATTGATAGTTGCCCGTGCTAATTCAGCGTAGCCTTGGGTGGAGATCATCCCAACAGCCACGCCGTGGAACAAGGTCAGATCACTTTTCCATTTACGATTCTTTGATCACTAGGCTATAAACTCCCTTCTCTTGTGAGCATAATCACAGGATTGTCAGTCAAGATGACACTCCTTCGACTAACTGAGACCGATCACAGGTCAGCAGCACAATTGGGGTGGTTGGGTAAAGAGTGAAGCTGGGTATGCGGTTTAACAGCGTGTCGAGTCTGTTGGGAGGCTCAACTGAAGGTAAGAGAGGTAAACCAGACACCATCTCGCGACCTAGGACGGTCAAGGCCGTGCTAGACTTCGCTGAAGCGTCCCAACTGTTCCAGAGGCGCGCACCATGAAAGCAGTCTAACAACGTGAGCGGCAACCAGGCCACGATAGGCCTGGACGATGCTCTAAGTTCGTTTTCAGGAAGTGGATCACTCTACATGTACATACACGGATAAAGATAGAGCTGTGGCCTGCGTATCTCTTTGCGAGTTAATTTAACCCTAGACCAAAATACGACTCCGTACTCGACCTAATCTAGAACCCAACTTTGCGAGAGGTCGGGGTAAATAAAATCTACTACTGTTGCTGCTGATGCATCTCGTTTTGCGAAAGAGTGTTCGAGAAAGAATTTCTGCTTGCAACTGGTGAAACTGATTTCGATCCATCTTGGACAACAATTGTGTGTCGTTATTATAATAACTCAACGGATTAGAACAGAGCAGCCTTTGGTGATTCCGTGATATATCTAACCTTGGCCGTGATTCTCTGAAACTTGTCACTGATATTAGGTCGTAAACGACCAGGCTCGTGTTAGATTCAAAGTCTCTCTTGCGATGAGCTTTTAATGACAGTGTCCTTATTTTATGAGTGCCCGATACAGAAGGATATGAATATTCTATACTCTTGCTACGTGCCAACGGTGAGATATATGGCATGTTAAACGATCGAGTTATCGAGTTATGAAAGCAAGGGCCGAATTGATTTTCCTGCGCAGCCTACGTAAATGAGCCGAAGGGTGTTCACGTGGTCGGCTTTGCCGCCCTCAAACTAGAAAAACTAGCCATCATCCTTCCACATTTCCGGCCGTTCATAGAAGATGAATCCATAGGCGCAAGCAAGGACATGCGCTGACTGCAATTCCAGTTCTCCAACCAAATCATAAATTACTGTCTGAAACGGTCTAATCTTGTATGTTAAATTTATATGTTAAAAATTCTGGACGGGGCCAACACTGTCGTTTTTGTGCCCCTTAATACCAGACGTATGAGACATTCCGGCAGGAAGAGTCTCAGAATCCCGTGAGAATTCCATAATAACATAATTCTCACGCGAAAGTTTGATTTTGCTATTTTGTATGAAGGCATCTTTTTGTAAAATAGGTAAGAATCTGGTGTAACATTAGCACCAGAGGTCTTCCGGAGAGATTGCTATTAATGCAAGACCTACCCTTCATTGTCAGCTAGTACCTCCACCCACACCGAGTCTGTCCTCTGGTCAGACAGCCAGCAATATTGGAGCAGTGAGCTTAAAAGTGGTGCTAGACTCTGTGCTCTGCTGAAATGGTCGTTTCCAATGCAGAACCGAATACCACGATCCGGCTCTTTGACTTCACCAAGCACATGACGAAGGCAATCCTCACGCACCCAGAATACCTCAAAATAGCTGGTCCGGCATCCGTCGCTTTGAATCACCTTTCGCAACTTGAAGAACTTGTAAAAGAGAGAAAGACCCAGACAAATCACCAGTGTGGCTCCTGTGACAATAGTTGTCACAAGGGCCATGACTGACCAGACTCCGTCTTGTGAAGCGCAAACATTTACGATCGTAGTCAACAACCCAGCCGCTGCATTCAAGGATGCTGGCCTGCCATTCAATCAGTTCTAGTTGGTTTATTTCTCGGGACTGCCTTACATAAAGAGTTTATTAGTCAGCCAGGAGTAATTAGCCTTGTACCTGTTGAATAGCCACCCCAAGACCGTCGCACCAGTTATTAGGAATAGGCAGGAGAATACAAGAAGTGGCGGATTTTGGATGGTGTTAAGGAGTACCCGCCCTGCGTTGTTCTTTTCCAATGTCTTTTCCACGCTATTCGATTTCTTCAAAGAGGTAAAAGTGCCAGGAATAACCAAATAGCCGGCAAGCAGAACCCAGTTTGCTCCGCTGGCGAGGAGGTTATAAATCCAGTTCATCTGCGCCTCTTCTTTGAGCATCCTTGTGTATGAGGTTTCATTTCCCGAGGTTGCATGGAATCCCGCTTGACTCATGCGCTGGTCTTCAATCGTATCTGTATTATTTCGTTGTTGAATCCAAGTTCGAAGAGATTTTAATGATCGAACCATCATGCCGGCGAAGAAAGTCGTCAATAGAGCAGATAACCGACAAATCAATCGGTTTCACACGTCCTGATTATTTATATATCTAGTGCGAGCTCCCATGAAGTTAAGGAAGCCAAAAGACGCTCCCTCAATTTTCTTGATATTTACTTAAGGTTGGCTATCTTCTATTCTAGCCTCCTCATAAACAAATGACTGCCAGCATCTTTATTATAGAGACCTAGTTTACCTTTCCCAAGAGGAGCTATTTAGAGCCCTATCTTCTTCCATGGCTTCAAGATAATGAAGGTTCGCTCTAAATGGCAACAGCTGAGAAATTCCGGCCTCATCAAAAGCGGAATTCTATTTTTCTCCCTTGAAAATCGGTCACCAAGAACACACCTATTATTCGAATATCCTGGATTTGGCCTTCTTCTAGATGGATGTATAGTACAGCACCAACCTTAGCCACTAGTAAGTACGGTGTTGATCTGCCAACCCTCAGTCTTTGATACGAATGTTTTGGTTGTTCACTCAATGTTGCAACCCTACTCGGTGAAAAACTGCCTTAGCACTTGTAATTTGCTTCTCGTAAATTCAGATGGTACCCAATGCAACATAGCAACAGGTCCTAGATAAAATCAAAATTATGGGGCTTCGACATCATCTTTGAATGCGCCGCAGAAATAGAGTCATCGGTACCTGCGTTATTCAGGCATTAATGATAACTTTCAAAGGCAGGCTATGATATCAAAATTCCATTATTTAAAGATTTGTTATCCTTGCGATTCCTGATTCTGTTCACTGTCTATCTTTCAGTGGCAATGGCGGCGTGGTTAGATCTGGTCTCGGACTCCACAGGCTGGACCTTGGTAGACACGGGGCGAATGGATGAACTCGTGCAAGGAATGACCCATCCTAATACACAATTTCCTTCGGTGGTATACTTTGCCGGAAATGGTAGCCGAATCAAGGCACTTCGCGCGCTCTTTCCCCTGAACAACGTTACGCGTAGAGGACCAGCTGGCCTGGCTCGACTTCATCTGAGCACAAAAACTGCCAACACTCAGCATCCTGTCCTTTTTGCGGAAAGCAGTCTGTCCAGCGTTTCCGGGCTTGGCGAATCCAGTCTGCGTCGCTGGTCATCTGACAATCTCCGACGTTATCGTATTCTCCAAGATGGGTCTCGACAAGCATCGGAGATACAGGAGCAAGTCATTTCCCAGATGCTTTTGCCATGGACCAATATCCTTTGTCTATTCGTAGATACTCACTCTGAATTACGTGATGCCTGCCGGCTGCTAAAAAGGCGTCGCCAACCTGTCACTATAGGTTCTCAGCCCACTGCAGATTTGATGCGTGTCATGATAGTTCTAACATCAGCTCAATATTCCGAGCTTGAGAATATTTCGAAAGTTTACCATAAATTGAATTCGGCCGGGATACCCAGTAAGGGCGTCGCAGTCCTAGACCTACGTGATAGGTACGAATTGTCCCCGCCAGCAGCTTTCGAGCCATTACGTCGTCTCATTATCAATGAGACTCAAGACATCCGCACGGAACAAACTTCTCACGGACTCTCCTTTTCGGCTATACATCTAAATGCCCTTTGGACGCGAACTCTGCGTCTAGACACCGGGGCCTCGGAACCTACTATTCTGGACTGCCTTCAAGTTGCGCGGGAAAGTCATCGGCTCAATTACATTACGACTGAATGCCTGGTCGAGTTTATCAACCACGCAAACAAATATTCCTATGCCGAAGATGTAATTCACATCTTTGTAGCTTCAGCATTGTTAATGAATGCCTATCCTCCTGGAATGCACGGTGAGTAGCGTATTTATTAACAACAACCTTCCTCAAACTGACAAATATAGCGTTCCATCCCGGCCTTGTTTTTGACGCGCTTTATCGAAGGCAGTGCTCGCAAGCATTTTGTACACAGGTGGAAGACGGCGAGAAACATTGCGATGCTGTGTTCGCTCACTTTAAGCGGCTTTTCTACTCAATGGGTCCAACCAATTCGTCTGCGACTATCAGAAGGGATGTTTTGAGGTGTAACCACCTTCAATGGAGTGGGCTTAATTCAACAACAACTTGTTTCTATTGCTTGTGTCGATCACCGGAACATATGATGGCGTGCCGGCATGCAATCTGCGATACCTGCGTTGTGGTCTTCGGGACACCAAACAAAAGCGCTGAGTATCATTTTGACTTTACCAAATGCCCATTGTGTCAAAAGCCTTCACTGCTCACAATTCGTCAATTACCGCCCACGAAACGACCGCTTGTGCTTAGTTTAGATGGTGGTGGGGTCCGTGGAATTATTCAGCTAGGTCTCCTCCGTGCACTGGAAAGGCGCCTGGGACACGGGATATACATGTTTGATATATTTGATCTGACTGCAGGCACAAGCGTTGGTAAGTGGCTACTCTCGAGACATCAGCAATAACCTGTTCACCCTTTATTTGGCCCTTTGTTCGCACGTAACTTTGGGGTGTCCAATTATCTGACCATAGATCAGGGGCTCTTAACGAGATAGATCTCATCTTGAACGGCTCCACAGCTGAAGAAAGCTTTCGCAGATTCCCTGCTCTTGCCCAAAAGGTTTTCAAGTTGGTCTCACCTCCTTCGCAAAAGCTCTCCGTCGTCGGCTGGGCTAAATGGGTCAAATGCCTGGCTGGTATCCTGGCAGATGGTCAATATGATGCCAATAACCTGGATAATACTCTCAAAGAAGCAGTTGATCCGGAGCGGCGCATGTTCGATGTGAGCACAACTCGTTCTGCGGGCAGTCGAGTAGCTATTATTACGAGTCGGATCTCTGATGGGAAAGCTTGCGTGCTCGCAAATTATCGTGGTATTGGTCAACGCGCCGTCGATTCAGCATACCAATTTCTGAGGCCGGAAGAAGAAAGCCAGAATCCATTTCTGTGGGAAGCGTGAGTTCTGCTGATTCTATGCCACTTGTTCCTGAATCCTGGATTAGTTCCAGGCCTATCTTCAGAAAGCTGATATGGCCATTTTACAGAGCCCGATGCAGTGTTGCTGCTCCTTGGTAAGTAGTGTTAGTTAGAGGTTATACATTTCGCTGCTCAGGCTAATAGTCAAATAGGTTTTTCCAAACAAAAACTCTCCCTGGATTTGGTCCGTTACAGGATGGGGGAGTGCGGGCCAACAATCCCTTGGCAATATCATTGAAGGAATCTGCTACTATCTGGCCTGCACACGGAACACATGATCTGGTCTTGTCGGTTGGTACTGGAGTCTCAAGTTCTGAGGTTAAGGCGGAAGATGCCCCTCTAGGGGGCATTCTTCAAGACGGGGCTGTTCCACGCATTATCAGAGCAACCATGTCCTCGCCATCCATGGATGGTGAACAGGGCTTTTATGAGGCCCTCAATTATGTTCCAGACCCCATGAGAGCACATATATTCCGACTCAACCACGCCCTACCTTGGCCATTACCCAGGCTAGATGATGTGGACAAATTGGTTGATCTTGCTGGATTATCATACAGCGTCCCAGATGAGCTCGTCCGTGCGATACTGGCCACAGGCTTTTTATTTTTTGAATTGGACCAAATACCTATCAGAAAGCAAGGAAATTTCTATTGTGAAGGCTCAATTCTCTGTTCAAGTCCCAATGCTAGTGGTTTGATCAAAAAAGTGCTCGCTGAGTTCCCAAGCCCTCGGTTCCAAACTGCGGATGGATATCACCTTGGACTGATTGGCAACGATGACGAGTGTCATGGATGTGGGTACTATCGTAAAAAGGTCGCTTTTACTGTTAATAGTCTGGAAGAAGTTATATCTATCGAGATTGCCAACTCGTCTTTTCAGCACAAGATTGGCGGCTTTCCGAAGTCGATGCAGGAAATTCTCGGTAACCAACAAGCATACGCATGTTTTGGCCGTTCTGACCATTTAGATACTTGTTGGCCTCCAAGAAGGGCATGCTACTGCGTTCGGGGAACCAAACGGCGAGTCCAATTTTCGGAACCTTCCCCAGAGAGGAAGAAACGTCGATTGTAGAATTTGGTGCTTGGACATTTACAGTCATTGCTTACGCTCAACCCTTGAGCCTCTGGGGTCGCTAAGTGAGATAATTGTAATCTTGACTTCTGAGATATTACTATTCTATTCATAGCAGTCTCGCACAAGATTGTATTAAAATAAAGATATTTTCCAACCCAAACTATACTGTAACCCATTATTAAATCCCAATGGTGTATGCAAAAAGCCAAGTTGATTACCAATTAATTTGGACTATGTGGTGTATATATAGCCTTATGTTTCCCTCTGAATAAATCAATCAGTTCATACCTCTGAACTTACAACAATATCGTCTTAAGGTTACCTGATTCGGACTTACGTGTGGGCTTAAAAGGGTGAAGTTGAAATATGAATATTTTTGCTTAATTGAGGCATTGTATCAGCACCCCTCCACTTTGCAATCTCATGTGCCCTTCCATTTAGGACAACGTGCGACGAAAAGTGAGGTTTTTGAATAACCTCATGCCAACGTCATAAACCGTGCTGTGGATGCCGCAAATTCTTATAATGTTCGAGTATATCTCTGCGTTAAGTATCCATCCAGCATTGTGTGTCTAGCGGGTAATCTGCTTTCGAAATCTACTGTACACTATTACTGTCATTTCAAAAAACTCCAGGCTATCGAGATTGAAGCACAGCAAAGGAACCAGGGTGATTATTCCTTATCAGTGGAGGAATTTTTGAGACTCAAGAATCGAGAATTTCCTCTACTTCTTTATACTTAAGTTCTACTACTGCTCTAGCTCCAGGTCAGAATCAAAATCCCTTACCTTGCAAATAGTTAATTCACTAGTCACAGCGGCAGCGGCTACGGTTACAATGACCCAGCCTCTGAATCAAATCATTGCAATGGCGATCGAACATTCATGATACCGCCACCAATGCATCCCCACCCAGTTCATGCGGTGTAGACGAAAATGGGGGGATGACTTGGTTTTTGCATTGTCGCGGGATATTGTGACAGCTTCCATC